TCAATAAGCGAAGGTATAATATGAGTATAAATGTTCAAAGAAAGCCATTAAAGAGTAATAAAAACTATATATTATAGTGTTAGAACACAAACTTCAAGCGGAGATTCTCTTTAAACTAAAAAAACAATGAAAGTTGTGACTTTTGCAATATAATAAAAAATGTCACAAATATATTTTTATTAGATATTAATGGACAATCAGTTTTGCAAACATGTGATCATCATAGAAGAAACCTTTTATGAACGAAAAATTTTCATATAAATTTAAGTAATCGACATTTAAATTACCCTATAAATAACATTTTGAATCTGTATACTGGGATATGTCCCATGACTGATATGGTATTTAGCTCAAGAGTATGCGAAAATATAGAAAAAGGAAAATATCCTAGTACGTATATTTTTCCACCTGAAAAGGGGATTGAAACGAGAAGACCTATAACAGAATTAAACTTTGCCTCATTATATTCCAGTCTCATCATAGCTTATAATCTCTCTCCAGATAAAATAATACTAACATATGAAGAGGCTGATATTGCAGAAAAAAACGGAAACATTTTACATAAGATTGAGTTTCCATTCAATAACTGCACCGTCCAAGCTAGAAGTGTAAGACATGATAATAAATTTGAAAAGAAGAGCTTATATCCTGTTATATTAGAGGATTTATCTAACAAGAGGCTGGAGCTTAAAGCATGTCTGGCTCCACTAGGAAAGAAAAGGCAACATCTTGGGAAGATAATAAGTTCAGCTAAAAAAAAGGTAAAAGGATTCCAGGAAGCTTAAATTCAGAATATTCATCCATATGCTTCGATTATGATTATTGGGATTTGAAGCAAAAAGCTTTAAAGGTATATATGAACACTTTTTATGGGGAGGCAGACAACTCAAAATCTCCAATCTTTCTCCGTGAATTAGCTGGAAGAACTACTTCAGCAGGAAAATATAATCTTAATCTTGTCACAGAATTCGTAACAAAGAAAGGGTTTGGGATAAAATATGGTGATACTGATTCTTTATATCTCACCTGCCAAGATAAGTATTATGAAAAATGCGATGAAGCATTTTTCTGAAAAGATCTTTCTAAAGAAGCGTATTGGACCAAAATGGTCAATATTACTATGATTGTGATGAAAAGCTTGCGTGATCAAGTAAATGCTTATCTTAGGATAAAGAATAGCACATTTTATCTTAAGATGGCATATGAAGAGGTATTATTTCCCGTTTGCTTCACTGGTAAGAAAAAATATTTCGGTATATCGCATGAAGATGTGGTTAATTTTAGGCCAAATGATCTCTTTATGAGAGGAATTGATACTATGAAGCAAGAGAATTTTGACCTCTTCAGGTTTATCGGAGAAAAGATTATGTGGGAGGCAATGAGTATTAATAATATACATTCAATTCGTAAAATTGTTGAAGACGCTCTTTGGGATGCTAGATTTAAGCAATGGGATTTTAATCAGTTTATTGCGATGTCTAAATGGAAGGCTAAAGGAGGCCTCGCATGCAATAAAATATTTATAGAGCGGATAAAAGAAAGAATAGCAAATGGAGAAAAAAATATAAAGATCCCTGACTCTGGCGAACGCTTTAGCTATATCATTATGAATAACAGTCCTCGTTATAAAAAAGATGGTTCAAAATCGACAAGAAAGGATAATTACATGGAGTTCGTAAATATTGCAAAAGAGTTTAATATGGATATAGATATCAGGTACTATTTAGAATAAACTGTAGAGATGTGCGTACGCTTCATTAATAAAGATAATAGTTTTCAACTACCCCTATCAGATAAAATAATGCAGATTAAAGATTCGGACAAAAGAGAAAAGAAGATCGATGATTATTCCCAGAAAAAAGCAAAAAACTAGCTTATAAGATATATCAAGAGTCCTCAATAAACTTTTTAGGTATTTCAATCATTCGTCCGAAGCAGATATAGACGAGATTATCAAATTATATAGTTAAGTATTCTTAGCGAGGTCTGGGAATTCCAGCTAAGAAAACTTAATATTATTTACATATTTTTTCTTGTGCAATAATATCAGCTAACTTCAATTCCTATCTTCGAACTTCCAGCCTAAAACGATCACTCCAAACTTCTGGCCTCCAACTATACAACCTGGCCTCAAAAATGTCCAAAGATGATAAAAAATAGTTCCAGTTAGAAGAATACTTGGTATTACTTTTTTTTTATAAATTTCATATTTTTTCCCAATGATCCATATAATGGCAAGAAGAAGTAAAGTAAGTATGGTATATGTTATCAATGGTGACATTAAGAAGTTCATAACGATAGGGATAGCTGGTGCTAGAGGCATTACTTGAGCTAGTAGCACTACTTCTGCACCACCTGATTGCTCTGCAACCTCTTCACTCAAAATATACTTTTCGGAATGTGCTGGTCGACTATGAATGGATTGATTGGGTAAGATATCTGTCTGGCTTCTCGAAACCATCTCATCCCGGGGTAATAGCTCTTGCAAAGCCTCTAATACATTTTCCCTAGCAAAACTTTTATTGAATTTCATAACTTTATTTTCAAAACCGAGCTTATAGACGAGAAGTCTTAAATCATCACTGAGTCAACCTAATAGCTTTTACGTTGAATCGTTCATAGGCGGAGGTGGGGAAATAGAAAGCTCTACTATTTTATTATCTTTTTTTAAGATTATCCTTTTTAATAAAAGATTTTCCTCCATTGAATTTAATCGCGCTGAAGACAAAGCATTTATTTTCTGTTTGAATATATTATTTAATGACTCTATCCCTTTTTCCATACATTCCAATTTGTATTTTTTTGAAGACAAATCATCCCTTGCCTATTCCAATTCAAGTTTGAGGGAATCCATCTTAAATAAGTTCATTTGAGCTAAGGAAGAATTCTTCTCCAATGCTTTCAACTTGGATTGGAGAGCTTTTATCTCTTTTGATTTTGTAGCAAGTTTGTTCTTAGAATCTGCAAGAGAAATATCTTTGCAAGTAATCTGAAAATTTAAAGAATTCATCTTTGATCATAGTTGTGACATTTCATCTATAAGCTGATGGATGCGATCGGAGAGTTTCCTATTATTGGTCTCAGCTTATTCTAGATTACGATGCAATTTGGCTTTGTCTCGATCATTTCTTTTACTATAGCTTGAATACATCTCCTGTATGTCATTATATTCATTGGTAAGCTCGGAAATGGATTAGATACTGTTGCGCAACATCTTCTTAAGTTCTATTTCACGAGCACTACCCAGGCGATGGCCTGAACTAATATCTTTCAGGGTATGCACATTTCTCATATTTTACGCCTGTTTATGAAGCAATAAAAAAAGATAAGCGTAACTAAAAATTCACTATTTGTTTCTTCCTATGACTATTTTGGTTGAGACTCTCGATTGAAATTTTAGTCATGGGAATTGGGGATAGTGTTTTATCGATATGAAATAATAAATATCATTTTCCATCGTTTTTTATTATTTTTTAATGTTATAAATACGATAAATATCATTTTACGTCGTTCTGTAACGCTTTATATCATTTTATATAATTTTCTATCATTTAAAAATAATAAATATCATTAAAGAAATACCATTTTTTATTGTTATAAAATTACTGGAAGAATTGCATGGCCAACCCATTTTATAAACTCATTATCGTCGAGACGCCACTGATTTGACGCCTGAGCAAATCGAAGAAATTAGGCATCTCAAAAATAAGGTTCTTACATATATGACAGTGAGGGATTATCATATATGTAAAGAGCGCGTTTATAATATATAGAACAATTGTGAACGGTCATAACAGAGTAAAAAGTATGAATTAGCTGAAATTCTTAGTACAGACAAAAAAGCAAAACTTCATGCCCCTGATTCATCACCAGTACATGAGTCGACTCGTTCGAGCTAATTGCAGGATAAGCAAAAAAATAAAGCATCAGGGTCTAAGTTTATTCGTGTTTCTGATGATTCATCGAAAATAGTAGGTGGAGACTTAGAAGTAAAAAAAGATACAATAGATATATAACCTGAATCGTCTTCTAGCTAATCACTTATTATTTCGCAAGATTCTGGAGATGTTTTAGAGATGTTTAAGAAAGTAAATATTGAAATGAAAAAGGTTAGGATAAAGGGTCGCACTATTACATCTAAATTGGTAACTGGGACTTAGCCCCACATCTATACAAATCGTTATAGTACCCTATAATTTCCAAATTCGTTTGGATACTGGTAAATAGCATTTTTTCGAGCTCCTCATAACTCACTTT